ACTTTTGACCACAATCCTAAATATATATACTAAATGGGTCTACAAAAGAATGCAAAAGAAATGGGCCCACTGTTATATAAAACCCATTAATAATGGGCTTAGACGTAGAATACTTGTTACCCCAATTTCTTTTGATTTTCCAACGCATGGGCCTCTTGTCATCCAATTACGTTCTGCTCAAAAGTGCTGGGCCTCCACTCTCCACGACGTTACGGTTCTATAGCCCATTAAGGAAAGCCACGTCAACGCAATCCATCTACAAAATCTAAGTTCCTTATCCTTCAGTCCTTGTCTCTCTGCTCCAAGCAACGGAGATCATGGTAGCCACACTCTGCTCCCTCAAGCTCCCTCTTCTGCTTCACAAGCCTCAACACACCTACTCCAAACTTCCAAACCCACCAAACCGAATTACCTCCAAATCCTCATCATGCCCGCAAAATATCTTCACTAAGACTCTCCATCATCTGAAATCCGCTTCTCTTCCCCTCACTACCCTGGCATTACCTTTCTTTTTTGACACAAAGGCAAGTGATATTTTTTTCCCACATTTTTGGAGTGGAAATGTAAAAAGATTGTCTCTTTTTTGTTCTGGGACTTTGATTTTTGAATTGTGGATGAACAGGATGCGCTTGCTATTGATGGGGAGTTTGGGATTTTGGAGGGGAGAACGCTTTCGCTCATTCACCCCATTGTCATGGGAGGGTTGTTCTTCTACACTTTATACGCTGGGTACTTGGGTTGGCAATGGAGGCGGGTTCGGACCATTCAGAATGAGATTAACGAGCTGAAGAAGCAGGTTAAGCCCACCCCAGTTACCCCAGAAGGGACGCCGGTGGAAGCAGCATCGTCTCCGGTGGAAGTCAAAATCCAGCAATTAACTGAGGTAGGCTTAATTACAAAGGAAGTTTCCGCTTTTGAAGATTGTTATCTTTCTTTCGTAACCATGCATTTTGCTTGTATAAATGAGTAAGTCCTGCCAAAGATAGCTTTGTATAACATGAAAGTCCTAATATTCAAGCATTAACTCAGAATTTCATATTACACCCGTTGATCCTCTCTCTGTGGACTGACATAGTTCCATGTATACTAAGACCATAGCCCATAGGCCCATAGCTGTACCCCGAATTCGATAAATGTTGTATAATTTGTTGGAATATCATGGGAATCTTTATGTAAGAAAGCAATCTGGCTTTTGGGCATGTAACTTCAGGAAAGGAAGGAGCTGCTGAAAGGGTCATACAGGGATAGACACTTCAATGCAGGATCAATATTGTTAGGATTTGGGGTGTTTGAGGCTATTGGTGGTGGAGTCAACACATGGTTTAGGACAGGCAAGCTCTTCCCAGGCCCCCATTTGTTTGCAGGAGCAGGTGAGGTTTTTAAATGGTTCTGATTTCAGGAAAAAGATGCAACTCAATGTGTAGTGACTAAAATTCATGTAGCTAACTGAATCTCAAATGGTTTAGTAAGGAGGAATTCACTTCATCATACTGGTTTCATGTTTCTTTTACAGCCATTACAGCACTATGGGCAGCAGCAGCAGCTCTAGTTCCTTCAATGCAGAAGGGGAGTGAGACTGCTAGGAACCTTCACATTGCACTGAATGCAGTAAATGTTCTTCTTTTTATATGGCAAATTCCCACAGGATTTGATATAGTTCTAAAAGTGTTAGAATTCACTAAGTGGCCTTAATTAGATATGGATTTCACTACTGTAACCTTTCTCTACCCTACAGTTCTGTTTATTTTTCACCTTGTTCTTGTATGCTACTTCAATTCTTTTCGTTCTTAACATCTCCCCAGATGTTATTTATAGTGTTACATCTACAAATAACTTGTATTTGATGAATGTATAAAGAATAACAAGAGAGACTATGAATGCTAGTTTGCATGCTCTGTGTAACTTAGCTGACTGAGCTTCATCCTAAAGGAACTAAACCAAATTAGAAATTACATAATGATATTGCTAGTGGTCTTGGCTTGTCACCATAGAGGTATGTTTGTAAATTGTGATCTATCACAAATACACAATTAGGAAATTTGCTTGTTTGGCCCAGATCTTCTCCTCTACAAAAGCTGAAACTGGGATCAAAAATGGTCTTTGGAAAAAATCTTCCGACTTTTTAAAAAGCTGTTTCAAAGTGGTAAAGGAGGTGTTTGTTTTCGAAAGATTATCAGTTGTTGTTAATTCTAATTAATTAAACGTGTTAGATATTGTAAATTATAAATAATAATAATTATTAGGTATTAAATATCAATTATCAGCAATTAGATGTATAAAAAAAATTTAATCCTAATAGCCCAAAAATTGAAGTTTTAAACACAGATCTCTTTTTATTAAACTTTTAAATTTGATCATTTTTATCATTCTTTAAATTTTTATGATCATTTTTTATGAATTCAAAATTCAGCATTTCTAATAAAATATTCTTAAACTAAATTTTTGCAAAATTACAGATAGATCAAATATGCTCTACGCGCACATTGTACGGCCATAAAGAACTTGTCACATGTTTGCAACACGCAGGTAATTGATCCCCATGCCACTGCCACATATAAGAAATAAAATATTGCGTGACTTTTAATTGACGTTGGCAAATTAACCCCAACATTCAATGGAATTGTTATATATATATATATATTTATTAAATAATGATAGACAATTATTTCTTATTTTTTATCTCATTTTACCTGTATATCATGTGATTTAAATTCAAGATTTCTTACTTCTAATGAAAAAAAATGATAATTAAATTACTTAAATCATGATTCAACAGAATTGTTAAATATGAAGAAACCATAAAAAAGGGTTTGATATTCCAATGACCCACTTCAAGTTCTTTTCTTCTTTTGAGCAACAATGTTGATCCCCTGGAGTCAGGAAACTTAAACTTCAATCACAACGACACAATTAAAAATTTCAAAATGTTCCTAGTTACACTCTTTATTCTCAGTCTCAAGCACTGCGAGTTAAAGGACAGAAAAGAACTCTTAAAGTCTACTATTACGAGTTTCATTATTTATAGAGGATCCTGAGAGACAAAAGGAAGAAAAAAAAGGAGAAAGTAGGAGAAGAAGCGAGCATCCATACAACCAACGTGCCCAAGTAAAGTCAGCAGCAAGACACAGACAGCACCATCTTTAAATTCCTTTTGCATGATTGTGGGAATCTTCTCGAACAGTTAGTTGCTTTCATCTAGTTGCATTCAAGAAAGAATCTGATTTCGTGAATGTCGTATGGTTTCAGATACAAGAAAAATGGATGTAACTGTCCGCAAAGAAAAATATAAAAAGCATCTGTAAATTATATGCCACACAGTTAATGCCTGGAAAACTATCGGCTCTTAAGACACAGAGCCGCAATGGACACAATTAAGGTTTGAAGTTTAAGAAAGAACTTTTGATTCAACTGAGATTGTCTAAACCAACTTCAAAGTTGAAAGTATTGGGATTATTAAGGGGCAGAAAAAAGAATAATCGTGTAGACGACTCTACTTGGATACCTGTCGTAAGATGAATTGATGCCTTCTTTTTCCTTTTTGTGCATTCCCTCTCTGTTTGTGTTTTGGGTGCTTTTCCTATTAACTATTTTTTTGCTTGTTTTGCTTGTTTTGCTTGTTTTTCAATTCTCTATGGACTCTATAAATAACATCATGAATGGATCGTTTATGTCTGTGCCAATTATTTCCTCTGCTCTTTAGAGGTCGGAAGGTTTAATCTTTTATAGATTTCTTTGCATTATGGCAAGCCAACCTCCAACAGCTCGTCCATGGTTCCGTTTAGGATCCCTTGCACGGGCCGCTCCAACGCCGGCACCCGCACCGGCACCTGCTCCAACTCCGGCTCCCACCGCGGCACCTGCTCCTGTTCCCACCCCGGCACCTGCTCCAGCGCCGTTTCCCACCGTGGCACCGGCTCCAGCGCCGGTTCCCACCGTCGCACCCGCTCCAACGCCGGTTCCCACCGTCGCACCGGCTCCAACGCCGGTTCCCACCGTTGCAACTGCTCCAACGCCCGTTCCCACCACGGTACCGGCTCCCACCCCGGCACCTGCTCCAATGCTGGCTCCCACCGTGACACCTGCTCCTGTTCCCATCACGGTACCGGCTCCCACCCCGGCACCTGCTCCAATGCTGGCTCCCACCGTGACACCTGCTCCTGTTCCCACCACGGCACCTGTTCCAAGGCCGTTTCCCACCGTGGCACTTGCTCCTGTTCCCACCACGGTACCGGCTCCTACTCCGGCACCTGCTCCAATGCTGGCTCCCACCGTGACACTTGCTCCTGTTCCCACCACGGTACCGGCTCCCACCCCGGCACCTGCTCCAATGCTGGCTCCTACCGTGGCACCTGCTCCTGTTCCCACCACGGTACCGGCTCCCACTGTGGCACCTGCTCCAACGCTGGCTCCCACCGTGACACCTGCTCCTGTTCCCACCACGGCACCTGTTCCAAGGCCGTTTCCCACCGTGGCACCTGCTCCTCTTCCCACCACGGTACCGGCTCCCACCCCGGCACCTGCTCCAACGCTGGCTCCCACCGTGACACCTGCTCTTGTTCCCACCACGGCACCTGCTCCAAGGCCGTTTCCCACCGTGGCACCTCCTCCTGTTCCCACCACGGTACCGGCTCCCACCCCGGCACCTGCTCCAACGCTGGCTCCCACCGTGACACCTGCTCCTGCTCCCACCACGGCACCTGTTCCAAGGCCGTTTCCCACAGTGACACCTGCTCCTGCTCCCACCATGGCACCTGTTCCAAGGCCGTTTCCCACCGTGACACCTATTCCTGTTCCCACCACGGTACCGGCTCCAACGCCGGTTCCCATCGTGGCACCTGCTCCTGTTCCCACCACGGTACCTGCTCCAACGCCGGCTCCCGCGGCGGTACCTCCTCCTGCCGTGGAATTCGTATTGCCCCGGCCTCTTCTGCCGCGGCCGGCATTTAGGCCAATTACTCAACCTACAGCACCTGCACCAGCACCTGCGCCGTCTTCACCAGTTAGAACGCTCCCGACAGGCCCCTCCACCACAGTAGCACCGCCTGCTGCACCAATTACAGCTCCAGTGGTGCCGATTGCAACTGCAGCGCCAATTACGGCTCCAACGCAACCTGTTCCAACTGAAAAGCCCGCCAGCACAGCAATCCTCGTGACTCGCGCGGCTAGTCCAACAGCATCATTAATAGCCATAAAACCAGCGGTACAAACGCCAGCCGCCCCTCCACCTTCTCCTTTAATCTTACCTCCGGCCCAATTGAAATCCCAGTCGGAGATCGAATCCAAAATCCCAGCAGAGGCAGAGCAGAAAACCGTGCTTGTTCAAAAGACAGTCGAGAAGCCAAAGGGGTGGTTCATTGGTGATTCCCATAAAGATCTCAGCGATGCAATCACAGAAGTGAAGGAAAAAGGTTACCGGAAGAAAACTTATTCTGATTCCGAGGAATCTGGCATAAGGGTCATAACAATTGCCGGCGAGAACAGAGGAGCTCACATGGAATTAATCCATTCCCCGCAGAAACATGGCTTCGAGGGTACCCCTCATCATCTCCAGAAGAAGGGGAGTTCCTCAACCGACGGCAACGAATCCCAGGACGGGAAACAAAAAAAGAAAGACAAGGATCAGAAATCAAAGGCAAAGCCTACGAATGCATATGTAAACAGTAATGTGCAGGGTGTTAACAGCTCCATTGTGCTCAATTCTACCTGCACTCACCATGACCCCGGCGTGCAAATCACTCTGCTCCGAAAACCATCCTGCGGTAGCGGTGGTGGATTGCAAATAAAGGAACATCGCAGCGGGGTATAACAGCCGGAGGGAAGCAAAGAATTTCACTTAATTTGGGATACTCTAAGTGCGATATTAAGCAATAAATTAATACTATTACATATGGGATAAAGGGAGTATATGCATGGAATCTGCTTCTTCAATCTGTGCAATTGAAGACGTTCCATAATATGTCTTTGGCGTGAACTTGCTTAAATTGGAGTGTAATAAAAGTGATTCTTCACTTGTTCATCGTACTTCATTCACTCTCTTTTTTTTTTTTTAATTTTTATCGTAAAATAATACAGTGTTGGTTACTGCAGAGATTTGAACAACAATTTGATCTTGCATTCGGAATTCAAGTTACGAAGTTCTTTTCTATGGTCAAAGACTCAAAGTTTTGAAGTTTTTAATTTTTCATGCATTCCTATTGTATGTGTCGCTTGCATGCGTTTTGTCGGCAAAAACCCTTCTTAAGCCCTTGAACTTGCTTCAAAATAACATTTAAACCTCAAAACTAAAAATAAAATAAATAAGCCCTCTAACTATACAAACAGTGCAAATCAACCTTTATCACAAATGACCTAAACAGTTGGATCTAACATACATAGATTCTGTTTGTTCTTTTATGTGCATCATTCTATGTAACTATTATATGCTTATTTAGGCCATCAAATCTAGGGAAATAGTGCACATCAAAGAACAAACAAAGTTAGTGCATGTTAGATCTAGTTGGTTGGGTTATTTGTGATAAGGGTTTATTTGCACTGGTCATGGAGCTAAAGGGTTTATCTACTTTATTTTTAGTTTAGGAGTTTAAATGCTATTTTATTGTAAGTTTAGGGGCTTAAGAAGAGTTTTGCCTTTTTGTCTTGGAGAATGAAAAAAAGAAAAAACGAGAAAAAGGACAAGAGAATGAAGAATATACTGAAATGGGCCAGCTATTTTGCATCATGTATCAGCCCCAGTCTTCCCTTTTCCTTCTGCGGGCCGTTTCAAATTTCCATTTTTGCGACGGCTTGCACTGAACAACTTGGGCCCAATCAGTTTCAAATACTTCTCAGGGCCCAAACTCTCTGCCAAAATTGAGCAGTGTGGGATTAGCCCAAAGTGGGAGACAAATGATAATGACAAAATAAATATTCATTGGATGAAAAATGCAAGACTAAGGATAAAATGGAAACAAAAAGCAGTACAGTACATTAAGAAAGACTTTAGAGATTACCATTAACTAGTGTATAAAACTAAAAAGAATTTCAATTACACAGGATATATTTGGTTTCTGTCTTCATTATTTGGATTTCAAATTTAAATGAACCATTGTACATGCACCAAAAATATTGAGTCACTTTATACAAGAAAAAAAATTCAAAGAACCATGTTGGGATCATAAACCAAGCACCCCATGTTCATAATTAGGATGGATTATGTATGTGTCTTTATTTTTATCATTATTTTAAAAACAATTTTCTTAATTTTAGGAGTCATGAAGAATTTAAGATTGAACAACTCATCAATTCTCACAATGCTCGCATGTGAGCCTCAATCGTCTTTTTTTTTTTGGTTAGGCCCGTGATTTGTAATCACCTTTTTTTCTCTCCAATATGAAAGGTAGTTTTGATTTGGATTGCACAATGTAAAGACTTTTTTTTTTTCTCCTTTTCATTTTTCACTTGTATGCTGTATAATTCAAAATCATATATTTTAAAAAAATTATTGTTCAATTATTTATAAAGTGAAAGTTTCTAAAATCTTAATCATTCTCTCCTTTACTTAATCGAAAACTTTGGTCACGAACTTACATATTAGATTGGTGAGAGATTTTTCTATATAATAAGGATATCATATCCACATTATTTTTGTTCACTAACACAATGACACATTAACATATGAGGCTTTAATTTGTATTAGACGGCTTAAATCAAGATATAATACATAATTAAAGTAAAAATAATAATGATAAAATAATTTTTTTTCTTAAAATATAAAAAACTATTATTTTAAAACAAATTTTAAATAAAAAAATATTTATTATTATTTAATAAAATTTAAAAATAATTTATTATAATTTATTAATTATTTAATTGTAAGTCAGGACCAGTTATATTGACGGGTCGCTATATTGATGAGCTGGGATACAGCTGACAGGTGCCATCCCATTGAATGGAAGAACTTTCTCCAGATTGGTATGCTCCAATATTTAAAGTCCATCAAAAAGGAGTACCAGCAAAAATAACCAGTCCTTTTAAGTGGGTCTTTAACAGCATGTGCCGATGTGCGATTGAAAGTGCCAGGTCCGACGCAGGAAATACTGGTCTTCATTAATTCTCCAAAGCCACAGTGGGGAACCAAAACGAAAACAACCTAATGGAGAGAAGACCCTGATTAATATATGTGGGAACTGGAGAGCTTTGAATATGAAAAAATTGGAAGGAAATGCAGTGTTTTATAATTCAGTGCAACGACGTGGTCGATTTTCAGCCATCAGTTCTATATTAGGAAACTAAAGCTAACACATCGTTTTCCCCAAGTTTGCTTTTTTGAGATTCAAGTTAATGGTTGCAATGCGGAAGGACCAAAGGGGTGTCCCCCACCCATGCAATCTTTTTTGCTTTGATTGGAATCCAAAGCACCACCGTCAGGAGGATGCATGGAGTTGATGTTCTTTGATTGTATTAGGGCAAACGAAAGACACCCAGAAACTTACCTCCATTGTGTTAGTCCTTTAGCTCTTGTACTAACCAGACAGCATGCTAGGAGTCAAACGACAATCTTCTGTGGTTCTGTTTAACTCTTCGTCCCCAAACCCTTTTCTAGCACTTTGTTAATTAATGCCTGATTTGCCCTAGCCAGAAATATTGTTAGGTATTGAGAGAAGTTTAGCTAACTTGACACTCACTAATGATAAATCTCAACCTGTGCCCAATTTCAAAGATTTTAATCACAAAAATTCTATTTACAATTAATTTAAAAGTACCAAAAAATGGTTAAAATTTCACTTCTATTCAAAATTTTGGCATTGAATTGAGAAAAAGGGGATGATAAATTAGAAAGGGAACTAGCTGGCGGATTCACAATTCCCCCTGGTATACTTCATGAATGACAAGCTAGTTTTGGTTAATGTCATTTCAGAATTTGGCTCATCGATCAAGCCATTTAGAGGCAACATACACACAATGACTCCTTAAACATGTCATGCACCATCGGTCCAATTAATTCCATATTTTTGGCCCCACTTTTCCCCATTGCCATGCCATGACCCATTAGTCATATGCTAGCCTTTTAGATTTCCCACCATCATAATCATATTCCCCTGCTCACTAAACTTCCCCCACACTACATTGCCTTGTTTCCAAACAACTTTGGCTGAGAAAATGAAGGTTAGAATTATGGTATCATTTCTTCAGCTAAATCTCTCCTAGTCATGACCCAACAAAATTCACTAATTCTTTGTGTCTTTTGTTTCTTCTTAATAGATCTTCAACTGGATGCAGAAGCGGCTCAATCCTAACGTTCTCAAAGGTTTGATTTCAACATTTTTTTTTAATGATTAAACAAAGTTTAGATATTAATCTTTATTGTATACAGGTTAATGTTTCTATCTTTGTTTCTTGTTTACTTTATTAGGCTTGTACTTGTGTTGTGTGTGTAGATGGGCTAGCTCGAAACGTGAAGAAGACAGATTCTATTGCTATTGACAGCAATTCAAAAGCCTTGCTGGAACAAGTAGCATTCCTGGATGTACTAGATAGCTGGAAAGATGGCATTCTCACTATTGGAACCTTCGGTTTTGATCCTCTCACCAAGCTGGATTTGGACCAACACAAAGAGTATTCTGCTTCGGACAGTGATGAAGAAGCAGAGGAAGGAGAGGGATATGCACTGAACAATGACGACGATCATGAAAATGATGACAACAATGATGAAGAAGAAGAAGAAGTGACCCCATTGATGTTCAGCATGTCCCAGATTAACTGCCATGATGTTGCATTGACTCCCCCTGCCATGTCCCCTGAGATCAAACTTGATCATTTGGATGATCAAGGGAAATTGAGAAGGAGAACAACCCTGGCTGAACTGTTCTTGGAAGATTCTGATATGAAAAAGAAGATGAATCCTAATGAATTCACACTGGACGCTGGCAAACAGGCATCTGATAAAACAAAAGACGGTGGTATCTTCTTTCCCAAGAAACTCATTCCTCATGCTAGAGAGGATTCACGCCCAGTAAAAAGGATACAGAAAGTGAGTACATTACAAAAATGCAGGATTGAGTATCCAAATTTTCACATTAATTAGTAATCTTATGATTCCCATGATCAGATGATGAAGAGGATGCTGAAGAGGAAGATTCATCCCGACATTGAAGGCAAGGGCTCTAACTCTAAGTCACACTGCCCCAACAACCCTGGCCTTCCTGATCATGCTCCGGAATCAGTTTCCCTCCTTCCAACTCCAGGTAAGGTACATTATAATTTGTATATACCAAATTGTAGCTGGTCTAAATTTAATAACACTTTTAATTTCCCCAAAATTTTTTACTTTAGTTATCAGTAATTCCACATTCTTAGATTTAGAATCACAATTAACAACAATTCATATAAAATGTATATAGTTAGTAACCTTTCCAGTAGTCTGTTAAAACAAAATGATCAATTATAAGTTTCTGGATGTAACCCCACGATGATATTGGTACCCTCACATAAAATTTGGTGATGATCCTACTCAAAGGAAGAATCCAAATAGGAAATGTCAAACGGAATGGATAGTCGAAAACATTATTCTTCTCTGTCAGACTGTCTCAGACCCCATCTAATCTGCCATTGTTTCCAAATTAAGGGATACTAATGGTAGGGACAGATAAACACCCACCACAACAACCACCACTCTTTTGTTTCTGGCAATAACACAGTAGTAATACTACGGATCATTTTTCACTCTATTCTCTATTGAGCTTTTTAAAAGTTACAAGTACTAATCATATACACTTTCCATGCTTATTTTGGCACAGATGCTGCAATGTGAGGTTCGTTCAAGGATAATCATGAGCCAGATATATGATCAACTCTCGTTTTTATGATGATTTTATTATTATTATTTTTAATAATATCAATGATTGTAATGTATAAAAAAATATTGGCTTTCTGTGTGACTCTGTTTTTGTAAACTTTGATGTTTTTTGGGTTTTTACTACTCCTATGTGAAGATGTGTTGTTTGGTTGGTTGTGCAGCAGGGTTTCAATATTGTTTACTTTTCTTCACATTATTTTTTTTATTAAATCTCTTGTATTAAAAAATAATATTAAATTTTGACTAACATGAAAGTGAACTTTCCTTGGATTTCATAAGGAAAAAAGAAAAAGTTTTCTTATGACCGAAAGCAACGTTGTTTTCATTGCTTTTATAATTGAGAGCAAACAGACCTTTAAGTCCAATTAATGAAAGAAAGCTAATATTGTCTGTATTTCTGACGATGTCTCAGGTTGGAAAGCAACATGCTAACTAATTAGTGTAAATGTACTATGTTTAACTCTTACATATTATGTTTGCTCCTTTGTTTCGTCAAGTCTCAGACTGTCAATCGTGTCCTAATTGGACGTAGTAACAGTAAATTAGGTAATGTTTCACGTCTTTGGATTTGATTGAACTAACATAAGGCAACTTTGGCCAAAAAAAAAAAAGAAAAAGAAGACCAAACCCCTTAGTTGCTCCCTAGACTTTCTTTTCTTTTTTTTACAATCAACACCTTTCATTAATTTTCCTTCCAATCAACACCCTTCATTTTTCATAAATTGAAAAAAACTCAAAAGTTTAGTGACGAGTCACATGCATGTTAAATTCTTTTAATTGATGCATTGTGTGGCACAAGGTGGCCGTCATATATGTGGCGGGTCCACAAACTAGCAACACTTTTCCCATTTGTCCCCATGTTTTAAAAAAAAAGAGTAAAATATTAAAGCCACCATCCCCCCTCCCCCCCTTATGAGATGTAGGATTTGCTTTGTTCAATGGAGATTTACAATATCTTGAGCATGTCTTCAACCCCATTAAAGGTAAATGGATTGCTCTCTTCCAAATTGAGAACTTTCTTAAGCTAGAAGTGCATACCTCTTGGACCTTATCCCTAACCCCACAAGGTTATTGCTCAAATCCAATTTGAATCTAAGTTTTCTTGTATTCCTCATTTTCACAAAAGAATAAGAGTACCTCATCTTTGAATCTGACATTCTCTTTCCACTCCCTCAAAACAAATGCATCGTTGATGGAAATGCTAGCAATGGTATGGCCAAAATAGGCATGGTTTTTATGGATAAGGAAAGAGAAGTGGGTCTTTAGTGGCAGTGGCGGAGCTTCAAGGGAACAAAAGCAAAGGAGAACTTGGAAGCGAGAAATTTGGGGGCGACTCTAGTGGTGGTGGTGGTGATTGAGAAGGAACTAGAGGAAGGTGAGTATTGAGATTGTGATCGAATTAGCCATTATCAAAGAAAGTGAGGTTGAGTGATTGTGGAACTACAAGTGAAGGTAGTCTCAAGTGGTTCCCAAACAAATTTATTATAGTTTTTTAAATCAAAAAGTTTGTGAAGATGAAAAGATCAATGCACTTACATGGACCAATTTTGATTGAGAGTAAAATTTGTTTTTTATTTTTTGAAGTGGGTATTAATTTAAAATTTTATGATATTTAAGGACCAATCTTATTGGAATTTGATAAATTTAGGGATCATATCTAAATTAAGTCCAATGACCTTTTTTTTTTTTTCAAATATGGGACCCATGTCTCATATCCAAAATGGCCACCTCAGATAAAGTTTATCCTCTTATGTGCCATGTCATTAAAAAATGGCCACCCATGGGCAATTATCATGGCCATGTCATTATAAAAATCATCCACCTCAGCTAAAGCTAATACACATTAACAAAAGCTTGACAAGTCATCAACTGTTACTAGAATTCAACGTTCACATGAGAAGCACACAACATCTCTATTAACTTTTGGATTTTTTTTGTTGGTTCTGAATTATTACGGTGTTGATTAGGGAGAAAAAAATAGAAAAATTGTCTAAGGGCCAAATAAAAGCTTTGCGGCCCCCCCCCCCCCCCCCCCAAGCAGAAGAAGTAATGTAAGGCACTTGACAAAACAGTACTTAGGTGATTTTTTTAGGCACACATCTATTTTACATTTTTAGATTAAAAAAAAAAAGGTTTAGGGTGAGCGGGTGAGAAGTAGTTACCCAATCTAAGGAGGGCATTTCGAATTTTACCTTACCTGCTGAGATAAAGGATTAAATAATTGACTGATAAAATAACCTTAAATTTACCATATTATTATTATTAAATGTAAAATTTACTCATGCAAATGGCTACTTGACTGCAAGTACTGTTTGATGTTTCTGAACGTTTGATGTTTCTGAACCTACCATGAAGCTGTAATCAGATTTATGTTTAGCGAGTTGGGTCAAATGTTTTTGATTTTGTTTTTCTGGCCCAAACAATCAGATTTATATTGATATAGAAGACCAAGAACTACACATTGTTCTTTACATTATGTTGGGTCGAGGCCTGCTACTGTGGACTTATTCATAGCCCATAATTTTCCAACATTAAAATCTCATAAACAGTGCGGTAGGGTCACTGGGTCAGCGAAGAAGAAGCGCTCTCTCTCATTTCTCAGAAGTCCCAATTTTAGTTAATTATGTTTAATGGCATTGATGGGTAGTTCGGAAAGTCACCACAATCTTCTTTTACCCTAAAGTATCAGGTGTATGTGATATATGTAATATGTTACAAAATGGCAAAACCACCAAATCCATTTTTCAAAAAAGAGGTAAGGCAGATTCGTCCCTAAAAGAAATATATGAATAAATTGTCTTTTTAAATTATAAATCAAAACAAATTATTCATTTTTTAAATGTGTGATGTCAAAACTTTATTTGTTAAGGGTAAAACCCTCAAATTGCTGCTTTAAAAATATGGATAGAGATGTATCCACCCTTAAAAAAAAAAAAAAAAGACATTTGGTCCCTTAAAAGTACCGATTGACACAAATCGGATCATTATTTGACAGATGATGTCATTACTGCTAAAAACTCCGTTTGGCCTATGATGATATGGCATTTTTCTTACACCTGGAGACTACGTGTACCATTTGTGCATTTTTTTACACCATGTCCCATGGGTCCCTCTCTTTTTTACTTTCCACATCATCTAGGTTCCACAATATACCTAATTTCCCCATTTCTCGTTTCACCAGATTAGTAACCAAACCTAATTTCCCAAATTAATTTCCTTGTAATAAACGAAAATGAAAAATAGAAACCCTAAATCTCAAAGAAATTTATGAGAAAATCAAACCTAATTACTCATAGAGTGTTTGAGAAGATGATCCCAAACAAACTTCTGCAGTCTTTTTGTCAATGATCCTCCTTCACACATTCTGCAAGATGACCACCAATTTCAATAAAGAGATTTCAAAATAAAGGGCTAAGATGCAGTCGAAGCTGGTGCAATAAGAGGTTCAAAGACATACCTCGTGAGGGAGAGCAAGGGGTCGAGCTGATCCATCGCTAGGAAGGTGGAGAAAAGGTAGAGAGCTAGGGTGGCGGTGGAGGGGGGTTGGGCACTTCATAGTCTACAATGGCTGCTTGGCCGCTTTTGGGTTGGTACGGGAGAGGTGAATATTAGGAAGCAAGCGCTAATTCTTTTATGAGTTTTGAACTTTGGGTTGGTGAAAGGTGATGGAAGCAACTATAGGTGAGGTTTGTTGCGAACCCAGACATTTGGGTATTTTTCATTGTTCTAAGGTAATTTTTTCTTTTGGGTATTTCTTATTTTCATAAAATTATGTTTCTGTAGTGATTTGTTCTTCTTTCTCAAGAAAATTTAGTTCATTTCATTGTTTTTTGGCCTTTGAACTTCTAAAAAATATTTACTAGCATTGAAAACAATAACTGTAAGATTTCATGGGTTTCTTCTTCTTCTTCATTTTTTTTTTCTTAATTATTTGCCATTAAGACTTTCTCTTTTTCATAATTATTCGCCATTAACATTTTCTCTTATGCTGTCTTGCTTGACTAGTCATGAAGGAATCATTGAGGCTTGTAGATCTAGCTCAAAAAGAAGGTGGGGAAATGGGAATAGCAACGCATAAGCCAAGATATATGTTTGAGGAATGGCATAATTTCATAAATTTGAGTGGATATGAAGGTTAATTTAGGAAATATTGGTTAAAAAGGAAAAAGAATGGAAGGTTAATTTAGGAAATATTTGGTTAAAAAGGAAAAAGAATGAGGTCCATTAGCCACGGTGTCAAAAAATAGCCATGTAAGCATGAGCAAACAAATTTTTTAACGGTAATGACATCAACAATTAAGTAACAAGATATTTGTCTTGATTGATTCATAATTTGAGGGTGTTTTTTGTCCCTGCCTTTTTTTTTTTAGGGTAGATCTGTTCCTACCCATATTTTTTAAGGGGTGATTTGAAGGTTCTGTTATTTGTTACGTAAGCATATTTTTTAATGAAATCTTGATGCTACATATTAAAAAAGGAGTGATTTGCCTCAATTAATAATTTAGAGGAGTAATTTATCCTTACATTTTTTTGAGAAATGGATCTGTTCTTATCCTTTATTTGAAGGGTGAATTTGAGAGTTCAACCGTTACAAAATTCATAGTAAAACATTATGAGTGTAGTGTCTCAATTTTATATCAAAAGAAAAGTATGATTGTGAATAGTATATAAGTGTAAAAATTAATTCTTAGTAATAATTTAAATTTTTAATAATTTATAAATTCTAACTCAAACAGTTATTAGGCCGCAAACATTAAATAGAATGAGTTAGTGAATAAGTTAGAGTTACTTATCATTGAATAATCCAAGATCAAAAGAAGAGTTCGGCCACTTGTAAACTTTGTCCCAGGTTGTATCATCTCCCTGCGGAGATGGGGTTTTTCTAGCTGCTACTAGCTTATTTCTTTCCATATATGAGACTGCTTTTCAATTCTTTTCATCATATTTGCTTCATCTCACTTATCCGCGACCTAATTATTATTAATATATATGGAAACATGTGGAGAAGAGTTGCAACGGATGGTTTTGAAGATGAGGGAAACAGTGATGATGCAAAAAAGCTAATGTAAAAATACTGAGATTGATCCCACCACCATCCCAAGCCAAGAAGTCCCAACTACGACCTCCCCCAGTGCCTAATATATATATATATATATATGTATATATATAAAATAAAGTGCCGTTTATCCGTAAACATTTTGTTTCTCGTTTGCCGTATCTATAA